CAAGTTCTTTAACAAATTTGAAAAAGACCAAAGCACCAAAAACTATAACACTCAAAAAACCATTGTCATCACCTAGTTTTCTAAATCTATTATTCACTAATATTTGTGGTCTTCGAAGTAACTTATTTTCAGTTAAGTCTTATTTCTTGCAAAATTTACCAGACCTTTTTTTTCTTCGTGAGACTAATTTTAGCTGTTTTTTCTTGTGATCTTAGTGTTGATGGTTTTCTTCCTTTAATTCATAAAGACTCCAATAGTCACAATGACTATGGCTCGGTCTGTGCATTTATTTTCTTAGAAATTCACCTATTTGTTGGGAAACTAGTTTTGAATCTACAGACTATTTTTTTATGTGCTTTTATTTAGCATCTCTTTACTCTATCGCCTTTCTCTTTATTCTATATTGCTTTATCTTAAGACTGCACTCTTTTCTATTAATTCCGATTGAATTGACCAAATTCTTTCTCTTTATCCTTCAGCCAATATCGTTGTTGGTGGTGACATTAATACTCGTCACATTGAATAAGTTGACTCTAGTGTCAGTGACTCTGTTGGCATTAAGGTTCACAACATTTGTCTTTCTCAATCTTTAACACAAGTCAATTTTCCAACTCGCTTTCCAGACAATCCAAGTCTTTTACCTTCTATACTCAACTTATGTCTTGTTTCTGATCCTAGCCAGTGCTTAATTTCTTGACATTCACACTTAAGTGCTTCTGATCACGGTTTGATCTCTCTAAAACTGTTATCTCATTCTTCTTCATTATCAGAATCCTCTAATTACTGTACCTCTTACAACTGCCTTAAAGCTGACTGAGACTCTTTCCATGATTTTTTTTGTAATGACTCTTGGGTAGAAATCTTTCATATATCTGCTGAAAAATATGCTTCTTACATAACTTCTTGGATTCAGGCTGGCATGGAATCTTTTATTCCCTCTTAAAAATTCCAAGTCAAGGTTCTCCATGGTTTTCCTGGAATTGCGTTGCTGCAGTTTCCAATTGTAATCATTACTTTCATATCTATGACCAAAACAATTCACCAGAAAATAGTCATCTGTTTACTATTGCTAAAAACCACTGTAAAAAAGTTTTGTCTAATTCCAAAGCCAGGTCACGAAGTTTTGTATTTCATATTAAAATCTCTGGAGAATTTTTAACATCTATAAGAAGATCAAATCTGTTGTTCCTCCTCTTTTGTATGGTTCAGATTTTGTCACCTAAAATCAAAGCTGAATTAGTTGCTAGAAACTTTCATGAATATCATCTTTTGATTCCACTAGTTTTGTTCTACCTGATAAAGCCGACAAACATGTTGATCCATTGCTTGACATTCTAATCACTCCAGCTTCTGTATTTAAAGTGGTTTTCGGCATAGACTCTTCTACAGCTTGTGGTCCGGGCAACAATTCCTGTTATAGTCTTGCAGAAGTGTTCCCCGGAGCTGTCGTCTATACTTTCAAAACTATTTAACAAGTGTCTATCATAGTCTTATTTTCTAGCCTGCTGGAAAGCGGCAATTGTTATCCCTATTTTTGAAAAATTCTGGAGAGCGATCTAACTCATCTAACTACCATCCCATTAGTCTTCATCCTATCATAAACAAGGTTTTTGAGCATTAACAAATACTTAACCTCTTATCTTGAATCTAATAATTTACTTTCTGATCATCAATATGGATTTGGATCTTATCGTTCTACAGCTAATTTGCTAACAGTAATAACCAATACATTTTATTGTGCATCAGATAGATGTGGAGAGGTTAACGCTATTGCTCTTAACATTTCTAAAGCTTTTGATAAAGTTGGGCATGCTGGTCTTCTCCATAAACTTTCTTCTTATGGTGTATTAGGTAACGTCTTTAAGATTATTGAATCTTTCTTTATAAAAGTTGTACTCAATGGTCACCCACAGCACTCTCCTTCATATCCTATAACTTCAGGAGTTTGTAAAGGTTCTATTTTTGGCCCTATACTCTTTTTAATTTACATTAATGATCTTCCAGATTTTTTCACATCTAAGGTTTCATTGTTTGCTGATGATACTACCATTTATTCTTTTCATGATAAGAAGCCAACACTCTGATTGCTTGGGGGGGGGAGGGCATTTGAGCTTGAAAAGAATCTCCATTCTGCTGCAGCATGTGGCTCTCAGTGACTGGTAAACTTTAACTCAGATAACACTCAAATTTTTTCAACTGATCATTATTGCAACAACCTAGATCTTATTATATTTACGAATGGTAATGTATTCGATGAGTAATCTACCCTTCACTTTCTAAGATTAACTTTACTTTTAATCTTTCTTGGAAAACATATATCAAATCAATTGCAAAATTAGCATCTGCTAAGCTTGCATCCCTTTATAGTGCTTGCCACTTTTTTGCTCCGAATTCGTATGGAATACGGTTGCCATATCTGGAGGAGACCTTTGAATGATGTCCTTTTTTGTTTAGACAAGATGCAAAAATGCATTATAAGTATAGTTGGACCTGCTCTTGCAGCCAACCTTCAATCATTATCACATCGTTATAATGTTGCTTCTCTTTTTTTTTTCTATAAATACTATAATGAGCACTGTTATGAGATATAGGTTTCATGATTTAAGTCTTGGTAGCCTGCAGTATTGGTCTTTTTCTTTGTCTTGGACCTTTAATGTCTTGTACTTTCAATTCCTTACAAAAAATATCAACAAAATGGATGGGTTAGTAATTATTAATTAATTGTCATTATTAAGATAAACTTTTTATATAATCAAGTGATGCATAATTGGCTGTTTTACTTCATACTGAAATTAACTTTACTTTAAATTTTTTTGTAACTATAGCATGTGGCTAATGTAGTTACAAAAAAAAGAAAACCTACATGTCTGCTATATGTGCAATATTCTTAGTTTCACAATGTGATGATCTTGCGTCATTTCTTATTAGCACATTTTGTTTTTAACATTACAAGAAACCTCTTAGTTTTCTGTTATTATTAAGTTTATATAATTTGCGATTATAAATGAGTGTTACATAATATAATTATAAATGAGTAATTTTGTTATAGAGTAATGTGTATAATCATTTCTGACATATAATGTCACTTATATATACATGGTAAAATGATACATCTGCTAAAGGTCTAATAGTAAATATGCTTGAATATGTCTTGGTCTTGAAGTCTTAGCTCCTAGTTTTAGTCTTGAGCCTAAACGTCCTGGTTTTAGTCTTAGTCTTGACCTTTACTGTCTCGACTACATCTCTGCAATAAATCCATTGTCTTGAATCTTTTTCAAAAATTATATTTCTTTAACATCAAAATAATCATTTAAAAACCCATATTCTTTACTTAATTTCTTTTTTATATTGCTTTCAAATAAGTCTCTTCCCTTCCAGCTTCTAAGAATTCTGGCTCCCTGAGTAATACTAAGTCCACAAGTGTCTTTAAATTTGTTTATTTTTTAAGTTGCAATTTAATCAACGGGAAAAAGCGTTTACAGAGCTATTCGATTGTTTAACGGCAATGGCTTTACCTTTGGCTACAATCTTGATTTTAGTCCCCTCCTTCTCAAATTTTCTTTTTAATATTTTGAGCATTCTATTGAAATATTAAATTTAGAATAAAAATTTTGCCCTTTGTCAAGTTCTTCTGTTAAATTTTCTCTTTTCTTTGTGAGAGTGCAAGGGTGGGGTAATCCTCTTCCAATGACAACCCTGCACCTTTTACATATTTTTATTGTTCAGGTGATGATACTGTTACTCTTCCCAACTCGATTATCCCTCTATTTTCAGATGTTAATCTTGGGTTAATTTAAGATCAATCTCACAGGTGTCACAAACGTTTCTGGTAAGAATACTAACTTTGACTTTGAGAGTATAACTAACTATGAGATATCATACGTTTTACTCAGAATAATGTTTTTATCCCTTTTTCAAGTCTTTCTAATGCTTCTCTACATTTAGTACAAACGTCATTAGGTAAGTTTTCAATGTTCAATCAAATAATTTTAAAAAGGACTTATATATTCTGTTCAATTTCACACTTACTTCTTTAACTTCTGTCATTCCTTATCCTTTTAAAAAACAAAATTAAGCAGACTAAGACTATTATTTTTATGAGATTTTTTAATGTTTGGAAATTTGAATCGATATGAGCAACACTAATTAATTTTTTTTAATGTTTTTTCAATTATTGCAGCAGATAAAAAAATGTTCACAGTATCTATTATTAAATTTTCTTGCGGTATACCACAAGGAAGTATACAAAACAGAGATTGTTTATACATTTAACCTGTAATGTAAACGTTATTTACCGTAATAAACGTATTATTTAAAATTTGCCATAAAATTAGGGCACCAAAGTCCAAACATTTGTTAGGGAAGGGAGCAATAATAGCACTTAAAAAAAAACTCTACCATTATGAACGCCACTAAAACTCATATTTAAAATTTTCATTTAGAAAAAAAAATATTTTAACTTTCAAAAGTTATAACCGAAAACCCCCTCAAACTTTACTTGGTTTTTTTTTTTTGATTTTTATACGATAAGAAATTTTTTATTAGATAAATTCATTTTTCCGATCAATTTTAAGCTATTTTAAGATACTACATAAAAAATGTTATTTTTTTCTTTTCACATTTGGGACAGTGGGTCCCAATTTTTTAGGTGTATTTTGTTCCCAGGCTCCTCTCACTGTAATTTTTCGTAAAACTTTCTTATTTGATACCAGTATCAATATTTCAAAATTTAAAGTTTGCACTATCTCTTAATGTTATCTATCTTAAACACCAAAATTCCAAAACCTGCCCGTTTAAACCACTTTTTTTTGAAAGACGTCGACAGAATATTTTATAGATTATAAAGAATAAAATACATTAAAAAAATTAACATTCCACATCATCTTGCTTTTCTCTTCTCTACCTGTTATCTCGCTTATTTCTCTTCTATGAGCTACAATTGTAACTGTTCGTAATTGTTGTAGCTTTTGTAATTGGTGTATGCGTTCTTTTTTTTTTAGGGCACGATTGAGCAAATCTACTTTTGCGATTAGCAACATGAGAAAAATTTTGTCCTACGTTCGGGATGTCAAAGTGAAGTTAAAAGTATACAAAGAACTTGGTTTTACTGATATGGAAAAATCGCTGAACGAAAGTTCAGCTGGAGCCTTCTTAAGAGATCAAATGTTTTACATGTAAAGTTCAGCTGGAACCTTAAGAGATCAAATGTTTTACATGTAAAGTTCAGTAGAAACTCTTTTAAAGTTATTTAAAGTGAATTTAATTTTATATATATTTTTTTATTCATAAGTTATTGTTTTTGTTTAATGACAGAAATTTATTATATAAATATATAAACATTACTTTTTTTCTTGATATCGCAAAAGTATTTTTTTCTTTTCAATTTAACGGGCAGAATATTTTTATTTTGACATAACATGCAGAACTATTTTTCTTTAAAATCTGAAGTCTTTTGCTATCTTGTATAAATAGTTTTATAGAAAATATTTTTTATAAAAGTTATTTTTAGTTCAATTCTGTTCTTAAACCATAGGACTTTCTAAATTCTTAAATTATGCGTTAAATTATAAATACACAAAAATCTTTAAGTCGAGGCTAGTTGCCCCTGTTTTTATTCGTTGAGCTCTGTAGCCTCGACTGCGCATTTTGTTTTTGTAAATATTTTGGCTTGAGTCCAAAATAGATTGCTTCAAGAGAAGGCATCGAAAAGTTTAGAACAACAGAATATATAAGGATAAAACAATTCTTAAAAGACGCGCGTAGAGACAGACATTGTTCGTGAGGTCAACTTCGAGGACGTGGTCACTAACTTTGCAAAGACGAAAGCACAAAAGGTTTCACTGCATAAAAACTTATAAATAACATCTAATGTTTACTTTATTCATGTTATCAATATAAAAAAAATAGACCAAAATTCTTTTCTCAGTTTGCTGGGGACCCCTAACTTGATGGTGGTTCCAGGCCCATGCCTTAATCTGATCCTAAATTGGAAACTTTAAAACTAATTTTTTTTAACCAAAAACCGTCATGCTCTCTATTGTATAACATACCTAGAACTCACTTTTTAGTGTCAGTAAAAAACGTTTTTAATAAAATATTTCTATTAACACTAATTTTAGTAAAAATTTTATAAATTTCAACATTCAAAGTAGATTTATAAAAACTTAAATACTTTTCATATCTTGTTATGTCTAAAAAATGAAAACTTTAGTAATTACATAACTTGTAATTTCATAACTTATGTCTAAAAAATGAAAAGGCAAAAATGTAAATGAAAAAGCAGAAAATGAGAATAGAATGAAAATATTGCGCAACCTTCGCTTCTAGTAAACTAGAAGCTTAATTGTTGAGAAAAGCAAATGGACTTTTAACTGTGTCACTAATAATGCACTTGTAAATATATTTCTAAAGCAACCGTAGTGCATGGTTAGAGTTCTGACCACTGCACCAAGAAATTCGAAGAACCAAGAAATTCGAGGTTTGATTCCAGCTCTCGCCCAATAAGTGAGATCGGTAAAGAATTTCCAGCTTAAATGCTTCTCCGCGGTGCTCTGTGATTTCTTGTAAAACCGCAAAAGTCTTCTAGGAGCATTTTTATAACTTCAAAAAAAAATCTTGAAAGGTGAATCGAAAGTTATTGGGGTGTAAAGGGTTGCTGGCAACTTGTTGTAGTGATCAAATCTTAAAACTGCTTAAAGCAGCATTTCACATTCAATAAAAAGTCCATCTTATCATTTTCCTTCGATTGAAATTAAATCAAAAAAGCTTTTTAAAAGGATGGAAGTTCTTATTTAAAAGCGTGAATGCTGAGACAAACTTGGTTCCCAACATCTTTTTCATAATTAAAGCATTCTAAAGTTTCAATTTAGTTGTCAAGGCTTGTTTTGGACTCTTTGTTCAGAACCCAAATTTGCACCATCTTCTACCTCATCAAAGATTTCATAAGTTGCAAAGAATCCTCCGTTAAGCCCCATAATAATCGGTCGAAGCTGCTCATCAAGGTTTTTTATCAAAATTGGTCTGATTATTGATCAATGATTATTGATCAATGATTATTGATCAATGATTATTGATCAATGATTATTGATTAATGATTATTGATCAATGATTATTGATCAATGATTATTGATCAATGATTATTGATCAATGATTATTGATCAATGATTATTAATCAATGATTATTGATCAATGATTATTGATCAATGATTATTGATCAATGATTATTGATCAATGATTATTGATCAATGATTATTGATCAATGATTATTGATCAATGATTATTGATCAATGATTATTGATCAATGATTATTGATCAATGATTATTGATCAATGATTATTGATCAATGACCAATCTGAAATGGAAATCAGAAATGAAATGGAACCATATTTAACTGCTTGCAGAACCTGAGCATAAAATCACAGCATGTCATAATAAATATTTTAACCATCTCAATATTTAAATGTCATTATTTTGAAAAATTAGGAATTTAGATACTACATAAAAAATATTAGGGTAGACTGGAACAGGTTGGTCATACCCAGTGGGCACCAGACCAAAAAAGACCGCTTTTGAACGTTCAAAAAGACGTTCAAAAGACGTTTAAAACGTGTATAAGACGTTTAAAAGATGTCATTTTTACGTCCGTGTCCACTGGGTAAGTGTAGGTATGCCAATCGAGTTTATTCAAAGGTTATGCGTTTCAGCGAGCTAGGAATCTAGGAGGAGGTTGGTTGTAATTCAAAACTTTTTCTATACAAAAAATAAAATTATTGGATCATAGTAAGAAGTGTAGGGCCGTTTTTACGATTATTTTTTTTCAATTTTATACAATGTAAATTGTACAAATTTATACAATGTAAATTTTGAACAGTTTTTTTTTGAAGTTAATATGCTCATTGGTGATCAACATTATTGGATTGGCCCAAGCCATATGTTTTAACCGCTTCTATAATTTTTTTTTTTTTTAATTGCTTATTTAAGGTGCAACACTAAATATTTTCTCAAAATCTTCAAAAAAATGAAACTTTTGATATTTAGCTTATTTGATAGGCAATTTATTGTAGATTAATAATATATAAAGTTAGTTGGCAAATTTTTTTTTGATATTGAGAAAAAGTAACTTTTTTAAAAAAAGTTCTGTAGCAACGGCCTTAGCAACGCAAAACATCCATAAACACAACTGGATAATTTCTAGTTTGTTCTGTAATTAATAAGTCATAAGCTTAAATAAGTTTTTATAGTAGTTTTACATTATTACTTTTTCAAAATAAATTGAAAACAAAATCGCTAAATGTTGCTTAATTTGTTGAATAGTTCGCAGTGGATAGATATACCGAAAGTCGGTAGCGGAAAAATAAAAATTATCCTACCGAAAGTTTACTGATTAGTTAAGAAATATCACGTGTCACAATAAAATAGGTAAATAAATATTTTTAATTTGTATGGATAATATATTGAGTAGTGTATCGGATATATTCTTGACACCGCACGCAGGCGTTCCGGATACGAATCCTTCCTAGGGAATCTTTTTACATTTCGATTGTTTTTTTCCATGTTTTTTCCAGGTTTTATTACGCTTATTAATTGAATAAATTATTTAGGGATGTACGCTAGGAATAGAACAATACAATAATAGACGCAATGGAGTGTTCATAGACTGACTGATTTAGCGATAGGCACCGAGGAATGTACATGCATTTACTAATTTATGGATAGGCGCACTGAAGTGTACATACATTTACTAGCCAGTGCAAAAAAAATATTGCAAGGAAAAGTCTAGAACTTGTTTATAATGATTTCAACTTTATAACGAACTTTGAGTTACTTCATTTAATGATTCTCGAAGTTATGAAATGTCCAAGTTGCCTTTCTTCAATTCTCATACAAAATTGACCTAATAAAATAATGAGACTTTGTTTGACCTTGGAACTTTGCTGTACTTGCTGTGATTGGTGTTATTCATTTCAAACCTCCAGACCTATTTCAAATCTTTTTAATAATTCTGTAGGAAGAGATAGCTATGAAATAAATGTTCTTTCCTTATTAGCATTTAGAGAAATAGGTAAAGGTTATGAACCAATGAAACTATACCACCAACTAATGAACATTCCTTCAATTACCTACAATACATATGATAAAATTAACAAAAAATTATACAATGCTTATGAAACTGTTGCTCAACAGGTTACTAACAAAGCTGCATTAGAAACTAGAAATTTGATTAATAATAATGCTTCACATGATGATACAATTTAATGTCAGGTTTCAGTTGACGGAACATGGCAAAAAAGAGGTCACTCATCATTTAATGGTGTTGTCACAGCCATATCTACTTTAACAGGCAAATGTATAGATGCTGTTGTTTTGTCAAAACATTGTAAAGGATGATCATCAAAGATCATCTGGTGCTATGGAAGGTGCAGGTGCAATTACTATTTTCCATCGGTCTGTCGAAAAGCATAAATTACAATATACTAGTTATTTAAATGATGGTGATACCTCATTGTATTCTGCAGTATTACCTTCATGTCCATACAAAGATATAGAGATCAAAAAAGCAGAATGTATCTTTTTTTGGATGTGTCTAGAATGGGCACATCCAAAAAAAGATAGGAAGTTGTGGTCGCGCACTGCGTCAACGTCTACGTGGAAAAAAATTGTCTGATGGAAAAGTAGTAGCAGGAAAAGGGAGGTTAACCGATAAAGCACTTTACCTTTTACAAAATTATTTTGGATTCGCTATTAGACAAAATTTAGGTAATATATATATTTAGGTAATATATATATATATATCAAATGAAAAAGGCTGTATAGGCAGTGCTTTTTTACAACTCTGATATTAAAGACATGAATATACGTCATCAATTTTGCCCACGAACTATTGCCAGCTGGTGTAAATGGCAACATGACCATATAAGTGGACATAAAACATATAAACCCAAGCTAAGCTTGCCATTTGCAATAAAAAGTATTCTTGTCCCTGTATTCAAAGAATTACTTGAAAAGTGCCTACACGGTCTTACACAAAACAATAATAAAGCATTAAATGCTATAATCTAAAAACGATACCCCAAACATATTTTTGTAAATAGAAGTATTATTGAAATATCAGTAAATTCTGCAATTATTAATTTTAATGAAGGTACCCATGGAATTATTGGTGTTTTAAAAAATTTGGGAATACGTATTGGACATTTTACTCATATCAGATTGATTAATTGTGATAAATTCAGAATTAAAAAATGTACAATCAAGTCTTCACTTACTGCAAAATTCCAACAAGAAGTTGC